GAACCCTATTCTTAATGATTAGTCTTTTTTATTATCATTGTTACTTCATTACTTTGATGTGTTTTGCCACACATCCTCCCAATTTCATCTCATTGAGCTAATGTGATATGGTGACTTTAGCCAATGAATAGCTGTATCAGTCTCTTTGCTGCTGATGACTAACTGACACACGCTACCGTTTCCAAAAACTAATATCGTAAGACATATATATACTCAGTTCGAATATCAGTATGGGGGTTGTGGAGATTGTTAAGTTTTTTTTTATTAAGATCATGAATCAATTGATGTTAGACCACCGTTGGAAACCTGGAAGCACTGGACGGCCGTTTCGTCCTAGTATGGGACTCCTCAGCAGTGCACATCCACGATCCCGCTCCACCGCGAGATTCGACCCAGGACCTATCGGTCTACCTCAGTACAATGGAAGTTGGTCGTGCGATTTCGTGGATTGGTTGATGTTAGACACTAACACCATTGGATGCCGGCTCAGTGGTCTAGTTGGTTAAGCGCCTGGCGCGAGACCGATAGGCCCTGGGTTCGAATCTCGCAGTGGAGCGGGATCGTGGATGTGCACTGCTGAGGAGTCCCATACTAGGACGAAACGGCCGTCCAGTGCTTCCAGGTTTCCAACGGTGGTCTAACATTAATTGATTCATGATCTTAATCAGTTTGAATAATTGAACACATCCTACTAGACAAATGAACTGTCTCAATTTTAAAATGATTTACTACGATCTGAATAAAAGCAATAAAATAACTTAAAAACAATTAGCCCCTTTGGTAAATTTAGAAAATGGAATGAAAAGACAATTGTTATCAGAACTATGTAATGACATGTAAGCTCAATACATTTTGAACAATCTGATCATATGTATATTTGTTAAAATCATTTATATATGAAAATAGAAGGTGAACTAGACAAACAAAAGGTAACAGAAAACATAGATTAGGAGGAAAGTAAAGTGGAACTGATCACATTGGATGATAAAACGAGATTATTAGAATACACAAAGGGGTCTTCAGCTTTCTCATAGCCACAACTTAATAAACCTTGGTATATGCGATTGAATTCTTTTATATAACATTATAAAAGCTGACTTGATATCATCCTTATAACTCATCTTAACCCAAGATTTTATAATGAAGATATTTGTCTATCTTGTGACTATTGAATTGTAATAAAAACAAGAGTATGTACGCAAAAATAAATTACGAAACAGGATTATTTGTCAGTCAGTCAGTTAGTAACAACATAGAACTTTGTACGTACGTGCATCAGTTCGAGTTGCCATACCACATTAGCACAGAGATGCAGTTGTCGATTCAAATCCCATAGTGAGGGTAAGCAGTAATCGGAAAGATTAGAGTTTGAAGATGTTATTTAAAGAGTATAATCCAGTGAAATAATTTTGGAAAGAGAAAAAGAAAGGGACATGGAGAATTCAGAAGATTAGAATTTGGGAGAACACAAAGATTGGATGCACCTGCGCCATTGCAAACGATTTTGAGCCATGTCATTCAAGGTCTCTAACCATCGGTTGCTATCGTCTCGTGGACCCCAACCAGGTAGTCTACACCTACCAACATGACTCAGTCCACTTGTCAGTGACTTCATGGACTTGTCCCATGTTTTGGTCTGACCGCCTCTAGCTTTCTTCCAACCTACTCCTATACCATTGAGCATCGCACGTCGAGGCAGTCGGTGGTTTGGTTGGACATACGTAACACATGTCGCAGCCATCTCAACTGATGAAGTTTCACTACTTCATCAATGGATCTGCCATACTTACCTAGTACCCGTTTCCTAACAACTGCATTACTTACTCGATGGTCCCAGGATATACGAGCAATGTTTCGAAGACACCTATGATAAAATACTGGTAACCTACGAATATCCTCTACTCTTACCGGCCATGTTTCACTGCCATAAAGTAGGACGGAATGAACTACTGCACAGTAAACCCATCCTTTGGTTGGTAGACGTATATCTCGCCTATTTCATAAATGACGCAAGTTGGCAAAAGCTAGTCGAGCCTTCTGTATCCGTGCTGAGATTTCGTCACACACCAGACCACTAGGGCTGATAAGACTCCCTAGATAAGTGAAGCCGTTCGACACGCTCAACTACTTCACTCCTTATCATTAACTCAAGTGTCGATGAAACCCAATCCTGAAGGATTATTTGTAAATATACTGAAAGAAAAAAAAGTGAAATAATGTACATAATACACAAATTAGATATTACGCCTACACATATATTGACTAAACATAATCTAAACAAACTGTTATAAGGAATTGAATTATTTTACACGTTAATATCACAAAATAATCACATTCCTTTTAAACATCATTAATCATTCTCATTTAGATTGAGATATAATATTCAATATAAATAAAATATAAGTCAAGATGACCTTGAACTTTAAATTTCACTCTTGAAGGTTAATTTAAAACAAATATGTGATATAAAAAGAAAAACAATCATATGAACTATATTCTATGTAATAAATATAAATAGTGAATTGAAGAATTCACTAAAAGGGGTCTTTATGGATATTATTAGTAATTTAATAGTTGAATTCATGAGTTAATTGAAGCTAGATCACTATGGAAAATTTGGAAGCACTGAACGGCAGTTTCGTCCTAGTCCTAATCATTGCCTTCTTGCGGCATTACTTTTGTTTACGAAATTGAGAGGAAGAACAGCGAATTTGCGGTACGGTAACCGGATTGGTGGACACAAAGAGTCCACCTAGGCAAGTTGGAAAACCCTCATTCCAAACTAATGGTGCACATGGGCTCCAGGATCCTGAAGGAACAAATGATGTATGAACCAATTATTGGTCACCAACTACCATGGGACTGTATCTGCTGACGTTGCTCCACTGCGTAGTGGATTAGATCTTTAGGTCGAAGGCTCAGTGGTGTGGTTCCCTAAGCAAACCACCTGCTTCGGTTTGGGCACCCGGACAGTATCACAACCCTCACACAAATCAAGTGACTCATGTGGCGCATATATATTCAGTGCCCCTCTGTACCAATATTCATGTATTTAAATAATAATAAATAAATAAAACTTTTTCTATAAGGATAGCACCAAACATGAAATAGATCAATCTCATATGCTAGTGTTCCGTAAAGGTTCTTACTAATTTTTAATCATCTAACATTTCAGTAAACAATATATACAAATGCTATGAGAAAAAATGAAGAAAACTTTCTAGACATCAGGTTATGTTGTCATTATAGATCATTGCGGAAAAAATAGCGTTTTTTCCTGGTTGGCGTTTTGTTAGCGAGTTAGTTTTCTATGGGATAAGGTCGCCAACCCCATAGTCCAACCCTCCTCCTTATCCGGGCTTGGGACTGGCAGTAGCCCCAGAGGGACTTCAGGTGGCTTATGTTTCATTGGGAGTAAAAGGCATAAGTAAGTGGAAAAATAAAGTGATCAATCCAACTTAAAATTTATAAACAATATCAATTTTAGATTTTATCGAAAATAATAATTACTATCTTAGCAATAATTCCAACAACAACAACAAAAAAAAAGAAAATATAGACAGATGGACACACAATGAACAGACAGATATATATAAAACAAAACTATCATAATAGACATAGCAACTAAAATGTAAACACATGGACAAATTAAAGTCATATGACTATAGAATGGAATTGTTACATGTGATGTTTAGAATATAAGTAAAATTAAATAAAACCACATGGGGGAATACATTAAATTGTTTACGTTAAAACAAAATCAAAAAGTATACACTTATAACTCGTACTAATTCCCATTGTATGTAATGAATTCTAACTCCGCCTGTAGCTCTTCTAGTGTGACTGCCGGTCCCAAGACCGGGTAAAGGAGGAGATTGGGCATGGGATTAGCAACCTTATCCCGTAGAAAACTAACTAGCTAAAAATAAACGCTAACCATAAAAATAATGAATTCTACTATGATATAGTCTAATATATTAGGTATGTTGTCAATACATGAGCATTGTCTTTTTTATCCATCAAGTGATGGATTTCAGAAATTATGGCATATATTTGACATTACTTCATTTCACTTTATGGAATAATATTTCTGTTTAGTTTCTAACTGTTAAAAGATGATATATAAATATCCGGTGGTCAATCTGTTATGAAGACTATAATTCGGACACTCACTCCAATAAACATATTACCGACATCATTACTTAGTTTACACACAAACACAGACAGCTTTTATAGATGCATGCAGTACGGTAATACAGATACATTATGAAAACTTTTAATACATTAAAACATGTAGAACTAGATTAGCTACATATCTATTACTTTAATAATCATACACCCAATTTCTAACAAGAAATTATGATCTATGAAAAAAGCAACTTCACAGTGCAAATAAATACGGACACATATGACTAGACAATATCACGTACAACATGACAATTATATGTAATGCAAACAGGACTCTCTCTCATTCAATAGTTGAGCCTTCTGTATCCATGCTGAGATTTCGTCACACACCAGACCAGTAGGGCTGATGAGAATCCCTAGATAAGGCCCCCAAATGACCTGGTATGGCCAAGAGTGGGGTGATCCCTCCATCTCGACATGCTCTCACATGAACACACGCACACAACCTCTGCCAGGGAAGTCCTACTCACTGCCTTCTCGTAGCGGGGGTGTAGTTTACGAAAATGAGAGGACGGAAAGCGAATGTCCGGCGCTTTAACCGGCTCCCAAACCAACGGTGCACATGGGCTCCAGTATCCCGACGGAACAAATGGTGTATGAACCAACCGTTGGTCACCGGCTATCATAAGACTGCATCTCCTTACGATGCTCCTTTGCCTTGTGGATCAGACTTTTAGGTCGAAGGCTCGGGGAGCGGCCCCCTAAGAAAACCACCTGGTTCGGTTTGGGCACCCGGGCAGTGTCACAGCCCTCACACATATCGAATGAGATTTGTGTGGCGCATATGTATTTGGTGCGTCATTGTACAATATCTATGTGTTAAAATAAATAAATAAAATAACATTCAGTAGTTGCCCTAAATACATCAAATTTACATTCGAATCAAAATTTCATTTCCTCGATGTTTCATTAAATAGAAGACAAGATGGTACATTACGGAAGGTCGATATAACGAAAACCAACTTGGAATGGATTATATACCAATAGTTACGGCTGGATCCCTTTAAATAGAAAGAGAAAACTAATTCAATCTTTATCATCAACGGTTAAGTGAAAATGCTCGGATAATATGATAGACGATAAACTAGCCAAACTCGACAAATATTTCTTAAGAACGGCTATCCATTCAGGTTTGTTGACCGGTACATCAGACCTAGATTACAATCTACAAGGTCTCACACCGTTCCTGGGAAAACTCTCTCCATGAAAATCAAGTTCAAGGGAAACATTACTGTGGAAATTTTGATGAATCACCTACAGAAATCTCCGGGAAAGCTTTCCATACCACCAAGCTTCGAATTGTCTTTTCCAACCGTCCCATCATCCGTCGATGTGTCAAGGATAAATCCTCATATTGGGTCACGTCAATCCGTTTAGAAATTCACCTGCTCTTATGAAACAGGTTACATCGGCCACACAAAGCAAGCGCTCCCACACCTATCTCCAAACATAATCCTGAGTAGCTTACGGAAGGTTAACGTAAAACAATCAACACTTCAATATTAAAACAATCTGTGAACTTCAGTCACATCGCCTTACTTGGTATGTTCTTTCAAATTATCTGAACTGCCAAAAGATTTGGCTCGATATCAGCGGTAATTATTAACATAAACACTGCAGAAGCACAAGCAATCCATCTTCTCGAAAGTGAAATCTGTGGGCAAAGGAGAAACACGAAATCCATCATTCTTTCATGCAGCTAACACTTTATTGTAACGAACGGCTATTTCATTTTATTACATCCTTCTAAAGTCTTTAATATTATTTTTAATGATTAGTTATTAAAACATGCACGTTTCTAAGTCACTCTTCCTATACTCGTCAACTGAAAAATCATTCCCCCTAAAATAAATTCCATCTTAACAACAACATCAACAAGGAGAACCACCAATCTGAAACACAACAACACACCAAATATTATTGTCTAGAACTTTGGTTTATGGACATCTAGAAAATCCCAGACGCTTGCACAAATGTCTTAATCAAATGTGTATACCGATACTGGACACTACAGTCACGTACAAGCATACCCTCAAACATTTCCCACGGCTTAGTACCAACAGTTTTGTCTAACGATGACAAACACCCAAATAAACAGCGATATTAAAACAATTTGAGAGAAAATCGTAGGATTTCAAATCCGCTACATTTTCAAACTTGGACACCATACTGTATCATTTAGATGAGGGGAAAACCCCACTATTCCAAAGAAAAAATAAATATATTTACTTACATAATTCAGGTACATAAACATATGCATTTAATTAATTACGCAAATAAGTGGCTGAATACATAAATAAAGAAGCTATACAAATCATAGTAAAATTAACAAAGATTATTGTTACCAGTCATACTGACACTGGCAAATTACATCATAAAGACAGTTTCACCACAACACAGAAATAAAACTCCAACACACACACACATATACACGAACTGTTCATCATCATCAATCTACCAGATACACATTCAGTAGACATATTAATATCCCACAAATACTGACGAGGACAAAGATAATGACAACAGAAAATCATTAAAAAATTAGTCAATCCATCAACACACAAAGTATGTACACAAACAAACAGTCACACACAAACACAAAGTCAATGTGATGAGGAGGATGAAGAAGTAGAATGTCAGTAGTTTGCCGGCTGTTTTTGTTGAGATGAGAAGGCAAAATCAAATCAAAGCTAAGAAAGGAGAAGTATGACAAAATGCATAAATGTCATCACTAAGAAAATGAAAACAACAAGTCCCCTTCATCATATCAATCATGAGTTGTTAGTCAGCGTAGTTGTCGTTGCTGATACCGTTGGGCTATTATTGACAGCGGTGTGTGTGTTGGTGTTGGTAGTAGGGGTGATGGGGATCGAAGTACTCGGTGTGGTTGACATTGTCGTCGCCGCCGCCACCGGCGCAGCTGTTGTTGTAGTAGTCGTTGTCGTTCGATGTACCGGATCATGAGCGAATAGTGGAAAATCATTAGGCACTGGGATTAGTGGAACATAATTAGCTGGAATGTCTTTGAATACATCCACAACACCAATACAATCGATATTCGACGCCAATGTTTCACGCGTTTTCATTTCCCAATCAAGTTTCTGCACCATCATTAGTGACTCAGCCTCATGAAGTTGTCGACAGAGTAATTTCTTCTAAATACAAAAATGTACAAGCAAAAACACAGATGAGAATGAGCGGAGGACACCATGAACAGATATAAAATAACGCACTTAGTGTTGTTGTTACACTCTCTACAGTACACACGCACCGATCGATCCGCAACGTCTTCACATACACAACCAAGCTTCATTAGCCATCCGTAACACCCCAGTCACAGTCGTAAAATTCTACCCCTAGACTCAGTTAACAGAGTGTAGAAATTTCATCTATAAAGTATTCTTACTGACTGAATTAACCTTTCATCTGCCAAGTGACATAGTGAGCCAATCAGAAGTGGCCAACCCAAAAGCTCATTCAATCATATTCAGAACTAATATGGAGGACTAGTATATATCACTCGTTAAGAAATGGATTGATTTTCTACGGGATATATAAAAGTGAGTATTTGTGCATATCATTCGGTAGGACAAAGTACTTTCCCGTCCAATCATGTATTTTCGCTTAAGTAAGCCCTAACTTGGAATCCTGAAGGGAGGCGGAAAAGAGGAAGGCCAAAGAACGCATTACGTCGGGAAATAAAAGCAGATATGGAAAGGATGAATAACAACTGGAAGGAGCTGAAAAGGATTGCACAGGACAGGGTTGGATGGAGAATGCTGGTGAGCGGCCTATGCCCCTTCACGAGGAGTAACAGGCGTTAGTAAGTAAGTAAGGGCAAAATACTTTCCCGTCAATCATGTTTTTTCGCTTAAGTAGGCAGGTCGAGAGTTAGTATGTACCACGTCGTGTATCAAGATCAGATTTCCGACACTGTCCATCATTACAAGAAAACACCTTATTTACTTATAGGTTAACACTGTTTATATGGTAAATGCTCATTTACATAGTCTCATTTCATTGTCAAGATGCTTGACTTTGTCGTCTGTACCAATATTTCTATTCATCCATCGTACCTGACAAATTCCTTCATGTTCTTATTTCACCGCAAAACAACTTCAATCATATTAATCAATCAACCATCAGTTTGACTTCAAAACGTTCAGAATTATCAGGTAACTTCACAACCCCCAAATAAATGACTATCAAATGATGCTTCAGCTCACCTTTTCATTCTGAAATGTATCGATAATGTCTTGAAGCCAACCGATAAATGTACGAGGGGTGAAACGATCGCGTATATTCTCTTCTTCCTGTAAACACACCAAAACATACACACAAAATTAGAGAATATGTACATATATAAACAGATAATACAACAATGTAAAAAGGTACCTATGATGAATAGCAACTTACAATCATAAATACTATTTCATCTGCTTCAATTGCACACAACTGATAAAGCCCACAGTTCAAACAATCGACAAGAAAATTTCAAACAAATAAACAATGTTGCTTTTATGCAACATCCACACCACCACCACTACAAACATACAACTACAATAACACTGTAAATCACCAACTAAGTATGCACACTCATGCACGCTGTCTTCAGCCAAACCGTTGTTCATAATACGTAGGAGAATTAGCTCGTACAGTAGGTAGGTAATACTCTCTACCATCAGATGTCTCATACTGAACTACTACACTGAGTGAGCTGATCCCCATCTCAACAATCCAAAAGATTTAATCTCAACAAAACAACGTTCAACAAACCATCAGTATTCTTCTTCTCATTCACAACATGTACAATCGAATACAGTGAACAATTAACTTGCTCGGACAGCAGCAAAACAAAATTACGTTTAGAAAACCATAATACACAACAAAATCCAGTTGTGAAAATTACTCAATTCAACTAACTACAGAGCCAAAGAACATCAACAACAGTCATACACAACAACACAACACACAGTTGACGATAAAGTTCAAAACAAAACAACCACTCACAGCAACAAGTAGAAGTCACAAAGACAACACTATTCGCGATTGTTCACATTGAAGCATACTTTGTAACTACTAATACGACTACTACTCATTAACAATTACACAATTTCACAAGAAACAAGATTAGTAAACAGAAAATTCAACCGGATAAACGAATCCGAATGTACTGCTCAAAAAATACACCATGATGGTTTTCAATTATCGATCAGCATCATCATGGTACCAAATTTTTCCTCCTCGAATGCTTCATAAAAATGTTTAATACGCTTTATGTAGCCCAATTTATGGCGCACTATTGTGCTTAGCTATTCCTTCTGTGATGCTAATAATCATCATTACAATATAATAGTTAGAAAAATATATGATGCAATATCTTCCACATGAACAGTTTCTTACAACCAATCAAATATGGTACGAAACACTCGGGTATTCATAGTTCTTAGTAAAAAAGAAAATAATCACTAAAATCATCCAATCCGCATGCAGTGGTTTTTAGCATTTGTTCAGTCGGGAAGCCACACGTCGACATCCTAGAATGTTCTTCCAAAAGATGATTAGATGGAATGTCTTCGGCTTCCTTGAGTTCACCGAGAGCCATCTACACATTGGGGAAGACTAATTTATTGTCTAATGTAAAATTACAGAGTTCTTTCGTGAAATGTGAAAACCATACATTTCTCCACCATATCAAATAGTTCATTTGCGAATACCTCATCAATCAGCCTCTACATCCTTCATGATTGTTCCACTTCTCAATTCCTTCATATTTCTCTTTCTCTTTTCTTCAGTTCAATCTTCCCTACCTTCTGCTATCAGACATTTCATATCTGACTGTTGTTACAACACACTAATTACGTCTGTCGACATAAGTAACATACACCACAAATGTACATATGAGTCGACAAACACAACATATGCGCCTACACATATTTTAAACAGTGAAGAGCAGCATTTCAACAAAGTCGTTCTCCGTTATGCAGTGGAATAAGGATCTTTATCTCATTAAAAGACCACAATCTCACAATACATTATGTCAACAGTAGTAACGATAACAACGAAGTTAAGAAACATACAGAAAACTCCAAAAACCAAGTCACATACGAACTCAGCTTTACAAAACAATACACGGAAAACTAAACAAACCTACTCAACACAAGTCGATCACTTTGAAAACATTCTTCACAAACTCCCAGCACCAACACATAAATCTTGGCTTCACAACACACACACACACACTGCATACATACAAAACTAACATAAACCATATCACGAACAGATGATAAATATAAAGGATTGACAACATCTCATCACCTTCCAATATTCATATTCACATTTCCGACTAATATGACAACACATCACTGATTCGTTTCATAAACTCGAATTATATAAACATAAACAAATAAAAAAAAACAAATAAAAGAAAACAAATATACTACTATTACTCACTCGATTCTCTAATTTCCCAACTGGTGGAATATACGTCAAATCATTATAGGATAATATTGAACAAAACGAATATGGTTTCGATTGATTGGCCACTGCTAAAGCACCACGTGTTTGAGCACGTAAAACAGCTTGTTCTGCGCCCAGTTGTAAGTGTTCCTTCAATCAATAATAAAAGGCTAGAATAAGTCAGCTGAAATAAACATTCAGTGTATTTCAAACAAACATTTGTCATTACCATAAGCATACAGATCTGAAATCAACTAACGATTATGAAAATTACAATTCAAATGAAAAAACGTTGGCAAAATAATCCACAAATATCAACATTACGTTAATTCCGTACCAATTTACCCATCATTGACATACAAATACAGTCTATTCTCTTGTCCATACAACAAAATAAAACATTTCACATTCATCAAAACCATTTTTACAACAGTGGACAGTTTAAATTCACTTGGTATTGTTTGGCTTGTATCTTCCTATTGAGGTTTGAGACTGCAATTGATCAGCCTGTTATTGGCATATGCGCATACCGTGCGTATGCCTCGATATTGCTTTAATTCACAAGCTTTTTGTAAGCAATGATGGACAGTGGCTAGCAGTGGAATCTAGGACGCGTGTTTCGTGGACAGTTTATTCCTTACTGCTCTCGTCAACGATCTCCAAGTCACACTTACTATATGTCATATATTTTACTTTAACAACTCTGTCGTCATTCAAATCCACACACACAACACAATGCTTAGATCACTACTACTAAGTATTGACAAAATAATTCACTTTCAATCACTCTATTTCTAATCATGCCCACACACAAAATACGCATCCAACACAGTAAATACCAACACTTACTCTTTCTGATTGGTGTTTCAATGCCTGAGCATAGCGTTCTTCTTCTTGTTCATTGAATAATTCCACAAACGTCGCTTCCAAATGACTCGGTGCTGACTACATGATAAACAAATAAGACAAACAAATCGATTAATAAACAACTCACAAAAAAACAAACAACGTCCTAAATGACTCATAGAATAAACTGCCTCAATGTTTACACATCTCATTCATGGCTGGAATAACCACTAAATCGTAAAACATCACAATGTTTCAGTCTTCACTTACTCATTCTAGTACATAACTTGACAATCAAGGTCACCCTAATAGTTAATAGTGTAGACACTCATCCATGAGTGAGTGCAATCACACAACAGGTCATACAGCTCACTGGAATGATCAATTAGTCACATATCATCAACGTAGTTGGGACCACAAACCTCACAAACCTCTATCGATCAAAGCTGTCATCAAACACCTCACACACATCACAATACACAGCAACTAGCGTGATTCAAAACATCGGATCAAAAAAAATCAATTGATCGAACGAAGAAATTTCTTTTTAATTAGATTCTCATCATGGCTCTACACTAATATATTATTTACAATAATGAAATAGTACTCGTTGAGTAGTTATGTTACATAATAATTGTATAATGACACATTAATTATAAAATAATATTGAGTAATTGAAAGGAAGGAGATCATAGTAATCAAAGTAACCAATCGAAAATTTGAACAGTTACTGCAATGCACAATATACAAAAAGAAGGGACTAACAGAATATTTTGATGAAAGGTCAGTATCATTGTAGTTATGTAAGAATTTAGAGACGATTGTTGAGAATATGTAAAAATATAAACGTGGAAGAAATTGGAAAATAGTTCAAATATTTTTGAAGGAAAGGGTTACAAAAAAGTTCAGCTACAAATTCACTCCTATACCGATAGACAAAGTGGTGAGAATGGTTGTACAAATCTCATTCGGATGTAAAGGTTTAGTTTATAAACATGGATTCCGATGGCTTCAGTGATATGCAACAGACGAACTCGTAAACCATGTGGTAAATTTGATGGAATATAGTAGATAACCTTAAAAGTTTTATTCAAGTTAACTTGACGACCTGTGTCCACAAAGTCAGCGGGAACAGAACACTTAACTATTCTATCTGTCCTTTGCTCAACCAACACGGACGGTGCTCTGCAATACGATAACGGACTTGCCGAATTGTACACCCTACATAACTGGTTTCACAGAAGTAGTTGAACTGGTAAATACACATGGATGTGGTGAATTCAGGTAGTCCGTCTTTATTATGAACCAGTTTTAAAAAACACAAACATACACACTTCAGGTCGAAAAACAAATTAGATCGGACAATAAACACTTACGAATGACAATGAGAAACTCAAGTCGCCAAATATCACACCATATTCAACGAATTAACATTATAAATCACCTTCATCAAACAAAACAGTATTTACAACTACTACAAAGCCAATAATTATCGTTTAAATACAACCAATACTGCCACTATCACTACACAACATTCACTCATTACTAAAAAACAATGCAGAAAATACCTAAAAAACTTACACGTTTCACATATGTAGCAAATGAGAGTTGATTAGCCAATAGGTAATTACGAGTAACCAACAGGTAATCTTGATAACCACAAGGTGCTTTCGGATGGACCTTCACCAGATTATTGACAAGTTCACGCAACTGTTGTAGTAGTGTAGTTGATTGCATCAAAACAAGCCATGCAAAGAATTTACAAATCTCATTAGTACAGCTATGTCATACATAAGGAGTTAAATTTATCCAAATATATTTCACTCAAAACAAAGCAATCATTACAATATTTCTGTTAACACTTCCCCAGCAAACATTAGACTATTACAAATACTACTAATAATAATACAATAATACTTAAATGTATCCCCATTCAACAACCAACCAACTAGTCAACATTCATTATCAATAATACTAACTGACTGAAACCACTTACATTCTTGTTCAGTTCAGCAGCTTTGTCATATGGATTTTGAAATTTCAACAACTCAACATCTTTACGATCTTCATCTCCAGGAGCAGAGGGACAAAATAAATAACTCATATCACAATCTGCTTCACTATAGCATCCACCTATCTGTTCCACTAATGACGATGATGATGGAGTTGATGTTGCTATTCCTGCTACACCTACTGTTGTTGTTACCACCGTCGTCACTCCTACTTCGGAGACTGATGACACGACATTCACATCATTCGATCCATCCATATTCAATGTCACAACTGACACAGCAGTTCCACACATCTCTGGTTTCCCATCCACTTCCATTTTGTTGCTGTTATCATTGTCAGTAGTGGTAGTAGTAGTAGTAGTAGTAGGAGTAGGAGTATGAGTGGTAGTACTAGCAGCAGTATTAGTAGAAGAAGAAGTGGTGGTAGACGATGAAACAGAATGTCCTCCTTCCATTTCAGAAACACAAGTCATATGCACATCAGTAGTATCTTTATCCGTCAGCACTGTAGACTGAGAGCTCCCGACAGACACCTTCTTCTCTTCATTATCCATATAACTGTCACTTTGAGAAGAAGCAGTCACAGTTGAACAACCATGTGTATCTTCAATCACATCCATGTTTGCAACAGCATTTGAAGACAACGACACATTAGAAGATTCAGTTGACGAACCAGCATGAACAGTTGTTACAGGTGAATTATTTGCATTTGCTGTCCCAATTCCACCACCACTACGACTCTGGTGACTGATATTCTCATGATTTGTCACAGTATCCGAACGAGAACGAAGTTTACGCTTCTTAATCGGAGTAGCGTCATCCGCTAAATAGGGAAAAAATAGTGTCATCAACGTACATCAATTACATTCTACAAAACTGATAGAAAACATCACCACAATCTCACTGACTTTATGATCACTATTCACAGATGAGTTTTATACTCCAGAATGCTTCCATAAACGATGTACGACTTCCTAACATAGAATCGAAGCTGTTACCAAGCTTCCCATCAATCACTAGTTTCTTTCTAATAAACACCAAAATGAAATGTTCAAGAAAAATAAAATATTACTCACTTTCGGTTTTATGTGAGCTACCTTTCTGTAGTATTTCACCAATTTAATTACATTATTTTTACCTTGGCAATTTATTCTCACAATATTCTTGTGTCATTATATGTGATGATGATGATGATGATGCATTTTCTAATGCCCTATAGCACCAAAGATTGGCTGACCAACTGACTGAGTTATACATTTTCCACATATTCACATAATCAAATAGAAATTTAACTCTTTGGCAACAGACCAATGTGCATGCATTAAACTCGAGATTATTACAAAATTGAACCATTCATCCATCCATCCATCCCTTACACTACAAACATCAATCAATCAACACGACCGTTGTTGCTACCTTGAAGTGGTGGTCGCGCTTGCCTATCGTGATGAAGCAACCGAGCTATACTGGCTGGAACAATCGATCCTCAAGGTCCTACCATGTCAGACAGGTCTGTTGAAGAACGGTAAAACTAAAAGCAACAAACCCAAGGTTCGAAGGCCAAGTTGTACTGCTCACTGTACAGAGGTGTGACAGCAGTAAGGTGTTTTCTTCAGACAACCAGCACAACAGCGATGCTGCCTTCCCACAAGGAGGGGTGGGGTTAGAAAAGGTCGACCCTAAAAATGCACACCTCACCTTATCCCACGGATATCCGTCTCCGGCGGTAAGGTCTCAACAAGTACGGAGCTAACACAAAAATTACCTATAAAAAGGTCGTGTGTGACCGACCTCAAGCAGTTGTCCCTTGGGCACTGCGGTCACGCTCTCAGGTCGCTAAGACCACCTCTAATCCAATTTCCTTTTAGGTACCTCCAGAACAACCCTTCCACGGTGTGGGCAACCGGGAAATGATAACCGCCCTCATACCTCTCACGGCACTCAAGACCACTGTATTCATAACCAACCTCCGTCTTCACTTCCTTATATTCCTCCTACATAGACTTTCACCTTAAACTTCCTTTTTCGGCTTCCCCCTCAAGTGTCACCATAGCCAACGATTCTAGTGCTCAAAACACTGTCCCAGGTCTACTGAAACCTCGCTCCAAACTACACATTGGAGCCTTCAACGTACGCACCATATGTCAAATCGATCAACAGGCTTCCTTGGCTAGAACCCTAGAATCTCGTACAATTGATGTATGCTGTGTCTCTGAAACACGCATACAGGATCCCAGTGTGGTCATTCACTTGACCTCACCTCGGCAGAACGGAGAGCCAACGAGATACACCCTTCGTGTATCTGGTGACCCAATGGCCAGCTCTCGTGGACTGGCAGGAGTAGGCATAGCACTAAGCATGAGGGCGGAACAAGCACTGTTAGGTGGATCCCCGTCAACAGTCGTTCATGTGCTGTTCGGCTAAACGCCTCCGTAAGAACTCGAAAGGATAGGGACACACGTAGTTGCCTTTTTGTCGTTTCTGACTACGCTCCCACCGACTGCAGCCCAGATAAAATGAAAGATGACTTTTACAGAAAGCTATCTGGACTTCTTCAGAAAGCTAAACGTTCAGACATAGTACTCGTAGCAGGTGACTTTAATGCCCAGATAGGTAGTTTAAACCAAACAGAAAGGCATTTAGGTGGGTATTTTAGTATTCCGGCACAACGAACAGACAATGGTGATCGTCTGCTGCAGCTGTGTTCAGACAATCGTTTATTTTTAGAAAGCATAAATTTTAAGCATAAGGAGAGACATCGTTTAACATGGCGACCCCCTACGTATGCCTGAACACCGATTGCCACGACGTGCAATGCTAACCGGTGTTCGGGATGGTTGGAAGAAAGTTAGGGGTGGCCAAACCAAAACGTGGCATCAGTGCTTGAAGTCACTAACTTGTAGTCTGAGCCATGTTGGTAGATGCAGACTACTTGGTTGGGGTCCGCGTGACTATCGTAACCAATGGTTGGAGACTCTCGTTGACAAGGCTCAGAATCGATCACAGTGGCGTCGGTGTATACACTCTCCGTCTTCTCTTAAACTAAGAGATTAAAGTCGCTTCATATCTTTCTTCCTACGAACTAATTCTTTCTTCCTGTACTATATCCTTATATGCAAACTTTCTTTTACATATTACCATCTCTGAATTAACTACTTTTATGAATCCGGTGTCCATTTTGTTGTGTTAATGAGGCATGGCAACTTGGACCGATGCATATATGTGCCTGGTCCTACGTTGTAGCTGACTGACTGACTGACTGACTGAATCAACACCAATAAAAGCAAAACTATGAATATAATCTAGTTACTAGACGATCACTTCTTTGCTGTCGCGTCTCACCCACTTAATACAGGGTAATTCATAAGTCCCAAACTTTATAGTACTAATGACACATACACAAATCTTCCATCACACTCCTCTTTCTACCTCATCAAATCAACACCAATTTCCTCTACAATCCGTCACAAACTGTTTCCTGTCAGTAAACAGGAATCGGAATAAAAACATTACAAACACTGAACTAACAAAATGCTTACTGTGACGTTCCTTCTCTTCTTTTTCACGTTGAGCAGCTGTATGTGAACGTAATGTACGCCCACTACGATGTCGATGAGTATCCTACAACACCAATACATCAAGAACGAAATAATCAGAAAAATTGAAACAGATTCATACAAAATGTAACAAATCAAAGTGGAATTTCACCTTCAATCGAGTTCATCACCGAATGAAGGGGGCAGAGAGAGTTCAGTCAACCACAAAATATACAACAGGTTCATTCCATTAACAGTCAAAATCAACACAGGACACGAACAATGATAACAGTTATCAACACATCAACACAACATTCAAACCACTACAGTCTGTCTGAATTTATCACACATGCATTAAAAATTTAACTTTTGATGAAGTCGGAAATCTTCCATACAACTCAACAGTTCATCCTAAGCAACAACATTATCAATATATTATTGACCAATGCTGGACTATGAAAATAAAGGACGCAAACATACGATCTGCGTGATGACTGTTCGCCGCATCCAATTATTAATGTAACCCTCATCCCGCACCCAATCACATCAATTCATCTCAGCTTTTTAGAAAAAAACACCAGCATTATGCCCCAGATTCATAGTCAAAACCTACCAAAAATCAACTAAAACACTTACACATTTAGAATGGATAAATTTCTCCCGAAAGTTATTCTGATCAAATACCATCTACTTTCTCATCAATAGCTACATCGAACCACACTTCAGTACGTTCAGTCACAATTACAACATTCAAGTGACTAATACAACTAGGTACATCAACAAACATACAAAAACACGCAAACTCACTTTCGACACTTCTCGATTACCATTATTCGTATTATTACTTCGATTGTGCGTGTGGTTGTTGTTGTTATGATTATTATTACTATTATTATTGCCACTCTTTCCATGACACTCACTTGTCTCCAGCATATTATCCATCTTCACCCGATTAGCATTACTTGCATTACTACGATTGCTGTTCATCTCAACAGTGTTAACACCACTCGTAATATTCACACTAGTGTTCATCCCAGCACTAGTGATACATGTTGATGGGGGAGTACAAGATATGGACAACTCTGTACTCGATTCGACATGGTGTACATTCGTTGCAACAACATGATCACAAGACTTAGATAACTTCTCATGGTAGCTAGAATATTGATCGTGGACAGTTTCGGTAGTGCAGGTAGCAGTAATGGTGGTAGTAGTACTACTGCCGCTGTTACCGTCGCCAATATTCTCCACGATTGAACATGAAACTTTGTCAGGAACTGGAGTATTCAATGAAACGACACTCGTCGAAACCAGAGAAGTGACAGTGACTCCAACCTCTTTACCATCACTTTTGTTATTCACAGTCATCAAACCATCATCAGATACACGAGGTTTCACGTCGCATTTATCATTCATATTCGACTCATTAGTCGAATTATTCTCCACATTATTGATAGGATGAATTGCCAATCCACCACCAGTTGCTCCGACTGACATGCACGACGACGTCATTGATGATGACTCATCTCCAGAAGTACCCGAAGCAAATTTTATGCGTAAAGGAGGAACCTTCTGTGCCGAGATTTCTTCGCCTCCTGATGACTCTGAATGGCATGATGTAGACACCTGTCACAGATAATTAACAGAAAAGAAAAAGCGCGTAGACATACATGAATACAAACAACAAAATAATCATCATACTCCAAAATTCAGCAGGAAACTGTCCAATTTCCTTTTCAGGTACCTCCAGAACAACCCTTCCACGGTGTGGGCAACCGGGAAATGATAACCGCCCTCACACCTCTAACACCACTGATTGACTGACTGATATAACATGACGAAATGGAAGCGAATTCCTTTGTAGGACTAACATCTATACATCAGCTCATTCGCCATGTACTTGATTATGAGACACACTCTTAGAGTGACGGCCAATGTACTACCCAGTAGCCCAAACTCAAATGGGTGGAGCACTGTTTGAAACTGTCATTTAGTGGCTGAAAGTCGAACACCTCAATCACTACACCAACGTTCCAAATCTGCAGGACCACAAAATACAAATACACACAATCTCATAACAAATTCTCTACAAAACAAACAACGATCACAAAATATATTTACCAACTCAGACAATCAATTTAAAGACATAAACTCCTTTCCCTTACATTCATTCTAGTCGATATTGTAGAAATGCTACATTTAGAACCCCATTAAAATACCTAACACACACATATACACAACTCTATCATGGTAGGAAAGTATAATCACTTTCCCAACAACGACGGTAAACATGAGCTGTCACATATTCTTATCAACCTTATCACATTCCCATTCATTCATTAACACTTAGTGGTAACACTAGTCAGAACTTGAAATAATGTGTTTATTGTGACATGAGGTGTCCGATAGTTGATACTGATACACAAACTTTTCGTATACCAGCTCAACCGGTCAGTCAGCTGCAACATAGGACCAGGCACATATATGCAAGTTGCCACACCTCATTAATACAATAAAATGGTCATCAAATCCATAGGAGTAGTTACTTCAATGGTAGCAATATATATACTCCAGTGAAAACACTGACACTGAAAAAGGAAGTTTATTGACCACACCGAATCGACCGTGTGTGTACACATTCATACATAAACATATTCATTCCAATAGTTGAGATCACGAGTCAATTGAAGCTAGACCACCATGGAAAACCTGGAAGCACTGGACGGCCGTTTCGTCCTCTTGTGAGACTCCTCAGCATATATTTATTCCTCACAAAATTAAGACGCCACTAGAGCATATCACATCTCTTAGCAATAAAAGCCGTTTCCTGCTTAATCAAATGTACTTATCATTTGGCCGATCTCTGATTGACTCAATTTACCAGTGTTATTGTTAGTATTGAGGTTATTCGCCCTTTGATACATCACTTCACAATAACCCTCTTACTAAAAATTCTAGTAGCATCCCAATAATAGTAATCATACGAAGAATCAGGACGAAAACAGTAACCCATGGTGACAATGATGAATATACTGTCGAAAATAGTCCTTAGATAAATACCCCACTGCTCATCATCTTACAATTAGAGTACTGAGCAATAACCACAACAGTAGAATGTGCAATAAAGGGAAATATTCATGTGTAGATACACGTCAAACTGATCGAAACAACCAATAGACACAGAATGCAGTCACAGAGGTTTCACTTCCTGTCAAATTTTTCATCTCCACAAATAACGAGCGATATTAATCACTTGTGTTTGCACTAAATTACAGAATAAGCAAATTCCAGTTCGTCGGCTCATAATTGCACACCGCGACACTTAGACTACTCAGACAGTACAACTCCAATATTCACAATACACAATCCAAAACAATCACTCATATTTAAGCAATCCTACAATTCTCAATCAAAATGGTTTATTAAAACCCAACAGGTGAAACAAAGACAATTAGAACAACTGAATCGTTAATTAACCAAACATTGTGCAAAAACACATACTTATGTACATACATACAAAGCAACGATACATTTCCTGATCTAAGGCTTTCGTTCTCACTCACGGACACTACTGCATACACTTCTGACAATTTACTATCTACAGAAAGTGCAGTCACGAGACAAACGGACAACGGATACTTGATATATAACAGAACGAGTGTTTTAGCATCTACTATTCTATCCCCAAAACAACTAAGCTCAATTACTGTTTTTAACTCACAATAACAAGATAGGGAGATGGGGGTACAAGTATGAACTATAAATTAATGGTTACAAAATTAAGATGAGATACAAGTCACCGGTCAAAAAGTACATAATCATGAGCTCGGCTTCGTGATTCACACTTTCGCTGTGTGCTTGACTGCTAGCTTTACCACTTATCCGCTTTCAACATACCCGAAATTGGTTGAAAAGTGAATGTTTAAACCTAGAATAATAACCTGACCAACATCCAGGTTCACAAACTCGTAACTCAACAATGTCGAAAATCCGAAAACGGATTCTCACATAACCAGTGTCAGTCATTGTACGCATGTCAATAAGAAAAAAATTACTCAACTACAAACAACTGAACTGACAAACAGAACACACTAAATCGGTCAAACATATATATATATATATATATATATATATATATATATATATATATATATATATATATATATATATATATATATATATGTGATTAAGCAGTCAGGAGAACAGCCAAATTAACACACACACATTCACATGTCAATCAATAACTAATACCACAACAGAAGATGAAAAAAGTTATCAGCAATCGTTCTGAATGAACTATTGGGAGATCAGCCTTTAATAAATAGTTCACTAGTCACCAACACCCCACCATTCAAATCACTTCATTACCACGAAATTACAACTGCCACATGTTCATATTTCGACATCAATTAAACAGTGAAGTTAAACTATTTCTTTACCAGACAAATACAACATTCAACAACAAATCTATGACCAAATGTTCACGCCCATTGTCATCGAAATCTCAAGCATAAAACTCTGACTAACATGACATCACTATTAAATAAATAAATAAGATAATGTCTACATTTGACTACCCTGCACACACACACACACACATCTAGCTGTTTTATATCAACCTACAATCCACAAAATTTAATCAGCAAATCCACCCAACACAGTATTAATCAGCTGGTTAGTAGGTTGTACAAAATAAGCACTCAAGAACAGTTACAATTATTGTCATAATAATTGACTTACATGATTCAATTCTTCATCACCTGATACGGTGATTGGCTCACTTTTTATCGTCATCGATGTACCCATATTTGAGTTATGCTCATTACTGACATTACCGCTACTATTATTATTATTATTGTTATCAATATCCATTTGAAAATTCATGTTCTTGTTATCGTTGTCGCTATCACTAATGACAGTGACATGAGATGCTTCAGTTGGTGTACAAATAATTCCACTTGATGAAGGAACAAGATTTGCATCACAATTCGAAAGGGATAAATCAATCTGTTGTTGTTGATGTTCCATCAAAGTATATTGACCGGCTTCTTTTGCAAAACGAAGCCGAAGCGGAGGCCCACCAATACTAGCACAGTTGTTGTTACTAGTTGTGTAATTGCTACTATTATTGGGAGCAGCAGTTGTAGTAAGAGCACTATTGTTTGTACCAGTCAATGTCGTCAATGTATTATCGTTATTACTATCCAAAGTGGTATTTCCACACTCCACAGTTGTTGACAAATTGGAAGAAGACAGTTGGCGTGTGTGCTTTGAAAGTGAATCAATACTACCAAGGCTGATATTACTATTTGGACTAGTATTCGTATTTGTATTGACAGAAGTAGTAGTAGTAGTGGTGGTGGTGGTAATAGTAGTAGTAGAAGAAGAAGAAATGGTAGAATTGGAAGAAGTTGACTTATTCAAATTGGCTGGAGCACCAACACTAACACCACAACCAGAATGAACTCCAATGTGTCCTGTTGCCTGTGTATTGGTATTATTACTATTATTAACACCAGACGCAGAATGAAGTAGTGAGTTCCCAGAATTGTTCACCGTCTCATCATTCTCATCATCTTCAAACGCGTAGGGATCTTTCTTCACTAGATAAAGACAAACATGAGCACGTACACAAAGACAGAGATCACAATTAGCAGTTTAACTATCTCAACAAACAACTTGTATGTTACTGTTATTATTGGTAGTATTATTTATGTACTATTGTCGTGCACAAACACATATATATGTCCCACCTTTTGTCTCTTCTAGTAAGTAAGTGATCACACACTCGATCAGTGTTATAGTGAAAATATTTTCAATGTGGAAACCACAAAAATAGCAATAACAACAATTATGATCGCATTTTTCCAAATAACTTCACATTTGACTTGTCATGAAAAAAGTACTCCATAGGATGAACAATATGGTCATTTACACGCTCACACCAACGTTACTACTACAGTAGACATATGCAAAAACACCGAAACTATTTAAAAACTAATGCGAAGACTCTTACTTGCTTATTTATTGGCATAAAAATTGTTTGTATGCAACTGCTGGTAGTGAGTGTTTACCTTAATCGTCCCCTCCCTCTCCTCGCCATCGTCTCTACGTAAGCGCATACCTGCATGCGCAAGTGCATCACAAGTACGTACAATAAAAGCGAAAGAAACTTTCTAAACCCCTGACCGACGGATGAGTTAGTGTACCTATGACTGCTAAAAACACAACCCACACCAGATAGAAATATACTATTACTTACTACTACTACTACTACTACCATTACGAATGATAAGTCGACTGCAACAGACATATACAGATATACAAGCAAATACAACAACGCAAACACCAAATAGCCAACCCATGCTTCGTACCTACTACAAACAAAGACAGACAAGCATAAACACATGGTAACAAATGACAACTTTATCTAGTCACCCATTTGTACAAACATCTAGACTAGTTGACTGCTTGTTTATGCACGTGCACACATGCGCGTTTCACAGACAAGAGATTAATGAAGGCAAATGCCACTACTGATGATAACTTAGCATTTGTTAACAGTAAACAATAATGTTCAAATGACATACAAACATGGGGAAATATATACACAAAACATCTCGTGATCCTCATTGGTTGCTTACATACCACACGAAATATGACATTAATGCAAATGAAAACATTGAACTTAAGTCAGCTGAACAAATTAAGACATTAAATAATAAAGGTTGATTCAGCGAAGAGTTCTCTTTTCGGCGGATTCATTTTTCAAAGCTGTACAGTCGCAAATATATATACTTATTTTTCAAGATGATAATAATGACAATAATAGTGATAATAAACTTTTGTTAAATATAATAGCAGTGAGATAGAATAAACAAAGGTATTTAAAAAATTTAATACTGGAAACCAATAGTTTTATTGTTAAGGGTTTAAATATTCATCATAAAAATAGATAGGAAAATTATCATTGGGAAAGGATGGCTTAGTGTGATAAGATCAGATGTAATCAGGAAGATCATAGAAGCAGAAATAAACCAGTCGGGGGTAGAAGGTTCATGGAAAAGATGGAAGGGGAAGCAGATGGTTGTAAAGGAAGGAAAGTATGGAGAAGAGAAAAAATGAGACATATTAAGACCATTTAGAGGAAGAGGTTGTACCAATCTATTTTGGACACAATTCTGGTTTGCTCAGATGTATGACTATGGCTTCGGCAATTTTAAGAAGATGCAATATAACTGCTCTTGGCAGCCTTCTACTTATCTTATAGATGACTTTTAATACAGAGTCTGTCTTGATTGAATGACCTGTGTTCACAAGGTTTTCGATTATTGAGCCGTTTCTTCCTCTTTTTAGTCATGCTAGGGAATGTTCTTGAATTCTTTTGTATAAAGTACTCATCGAACGACCTATATACCTGGCCCCACACGAGTAGGTGAATTGGTAAATGCACATCAGATGAGATAATTTATCTTTAAGATTATTGATGGACAACGATCGGCTGGAGAACACGATTCGCAACGTTGCTGCAAATAACCTTCTTTTTAAAGACTCAGAAATTCTCTTCTTTAGGACGTTTGTAGTTTTATCACCCTTAAAATCGATATTCATGTGGTGTTTTCTTTTCGACTAATGTTATTTATGTTTTAGGTGGTTTAGGTTTTATGTTCTCGTCAATAAATATCGAAGGACACCCATTTTTTGATAAGTATTTCCTGCTTCTATGATCTTCCTGATTACATTTGATCTTATCACACTAAGCCATCCTTTCCCAATGATAATTTTCCTATCTATTTTTATGATGAATATTTAAACCCTTAACAATAAAACTATTGGTTTCCAGTATTAAATTTTTTAAAATACCTTTGTTTATTCTATCTCACTGCTATTATATTTAACAAAAGTTTATTATCACTATTATTGTCATTATTATCATCTTGAAAAATAAGTATATATATTTGCGACTGTACAGCTTTGAAAAATGAATCCGCCGAAAAGAGAACACTTCGCTGAATCAACCTTTATTATTTAATGTCTCAATGAGTGTATTCCGTTCACTAAAAAATAAAGATGAGCAATATTCCAAAAATGTAGAACAAGCATTAATTTCAACTGACTGCTGGGTAACGTTAACTAGACAAATACGTAAGAGATGACATAGGTCAAATCTGACACCATGACAATCCGACTGTGTGATAAGAAGCCACTAGCCGATGGACTTTTGATTCATATAGTAGACCTTCCGGCTACGAAACATCTCTTTCATCTCAACAAACTAGTATAGATGCATTCATCTCTTGCTTTCCATGAAATTTTGACTCTTAGCATCAATTCATACTCGACATTTTACTATCTTATTCTTTATTTTGAAGCATTCTCCCTACCTTGAGCTTTTATCACCACAGACATATAATTCGCGCAATAAACATGTCTATCACATTCCACTATGATAACAACTAGTAAGGTATACACGGCAATCACATAAGTCCCCACCTACCTTTCACAAAACTCAGCGGATAACAAATAGACAGTTTTTAAGGTCATAATTAAGGGGAACCTAGTTACTTATCACTCATAATACATTCATTAGGCATTATCTGATAATGGTGATAGTCATAATCACAATCAAGTGAAAATACACTGAACAGAGCTCATTTTGTTGGGTTTTTTTCCAACACCAACATATTTGAAGCTACACATCACAAACCTCCACTTCATTAATCACTTCGAAAATTGGTGGGTGAAGCATAACATTTGATAATCAAGTGAGACACTTGCATCTATACAACGATGAGCAAATCTATATATTCTCATGTACAATCTGAGCAGTCTGTCAGTTGATTTTGATAGCTATTGCAAAATTCACTATATATAACACAGACAAACATTGAGATCTGTGAATAATTACTGGAATAGTACACCATAATATTGCATAAAGTTTACAACAAAGGATAAGCCAAATAGTTTGTAATAAGAGGGGGATATGTAGAAGCACACATGCGTGAAAAAACACTCACATGACTTTGCTGAAGAGATGTGCACATCAGTTACGGATTTGGGTACAGACGACAATGATGGGCTAGATGTTGGATGGTTATGATGACCGGTAGATGATAAGCAATTCAAATCTAACTGCTGGTTAGTATTAATAGGACTAATATTATGGTGAGATGTATTGGCAGTTATACTCAGACCTGAATGCGAATGACCATCATCTTCTGAGTCTGAACAAACATTCGATGGACTTGCTATACTACTGTTATCTTTACCCCCACCACCATAATATTCAGTAGAACTGGATATTGTCGTACCAGAAAAAGAAGACATCAGATGTTTTGTACCGTGTGCATGTTGGCGAACTTTCAAATGTGATGATTTCCCAGAACCAGACGATGTTAACATGTGTGATTGGTTAGTTTCAGTATGCTGAAAATATAAACACAATAACAATAAAGTATATCCAGGAAACAGTAAAACTTGACCAATTAGTGAAGAGATTATATGTACATGGCGTATGAACTGACTCGAATGACTATTGGTTTAAGTTGCCAAATTTTACATCAGTGTAGGGACAGGAAGTTCAAAAGACGAAAAACAGAGTCGAAATAATAATATTAATAGTAGTGGAAACCAAATACATAAAGTACGTTAAGAAAAGAATTAATCAAATCAAAGGCGGAAAGCATCAAAACTGAAACTCAAGATTTAGATGAGAATAAGTCACAATAAACGAAGAGGAAGACAAGCAAATCACCAAAAGCGAATGAAGGATACAAAATAATACTTGAATGTCCAACACTTACAAGATGTTGAGAAATGTGTATACATTCATCATTACAACTAATTTCGACTCATCACCTAGTTAACAAACAACATAGACAGACTACAGTTGTCTCACAAACAACAATCAAGGAGCCTGAATGGCTCAGATTAATAGCCATTGACTTCATGAGTTGACTTTATAAATCGATTTAGTTGCTCCTAACCTGTTTCTACCCTATATATATACTAACCTCCATGGAACACTGGTGTAGTCAGTGGCTGATCAAGCGTTACATATGCACCAACCCTCTCACAACCAGTGAAAGTTCATAATCTCACCAACCTATGCAACACTTTTACTTAGTACGCTAACTGCAACATCACCACTACTCACTCAATGTTCTCCATTAACGACAGCGATGACGTATACGCCTATGATCAAATAAACAATCTGGAAATAAAAATTATACTCGACAAAGAGGGAAATCACTTTAATTCACATAATACAGTTACCACATTTACAAAGTACTGTTTAGTTGACCATAATTAGATAGGTTGACACGACCAACCAAATTAAGCAACCATATATCAAATGTACATCCCATTAAGTGAAAACCAGTTGGCAAAATATAGGCAATGATCGTGTCGAAAGATGAGGGTTCACATTTGAGAGACAATCAATTTTCCAAATGTTGAACACACTCATGCACCTTTCTGTGATACAACGAATGGATACAAAAATCCAATCTCACAACTGCCTCCTTGCCATCACCGAACTGTAGTTCCGCATTCGCCTGATAACATAGTCCCTTAAGTGACCATGATCTGGCCTCATCTTAAGTGTAAAGGTTACACAAATAAGGATGTCAATCAGTAAGCATCAACGTAGGGCCTGTCACAGATATATACCGGCCCAAGTTGTCATAGCATAAAAGTATCACCATAAGTTTTTGGAGTGTCTTAAAAAAAATACTCAAAGGTACAATTCTTTCAAGAAACTGGTCTGCTTGATAAGCTCTTGATATCCCTACGACACAATCCTTTCTACAAAATGTAACCTTTAAAAAATTACATCCAAAACATACTTGTTTGAGAAAACTGGATACCTCAGGGTCATGACACAAGTCCAAAGGTTTCTCACCCCTATGGTTCGATACCAAAGGGTCGGCGTTGTAGTATATGAGCGCTCGAACAATACGCAGACATCCTACTCGCGCAGCACAATGAAGTGCCATTTCACCGTTTATGTTTGAGATACTAGGATCAGCTCCATGTCGTAGCAAATAATCAACCATACGTGGAAGGTTCCGCACACATGCTTCGTGCAATACAGTCCAACCTACAAATTTAAATGGAAATGTATGAAGAACAGCCCCTGTGATGAAATGAAATACGAACACGCATCAGTGATCGAAACAAAAGCCCGGTGGACTGAGATTAATGATCAAAGCCAACTATTTACATTGAGATACTAAGGAGTTCTACTTTTAAGTGGTAAATTCCACGTCTAAAAGGTCAAGCTGTGAGACAAATAACCTAAACCATAGCACGCACAAATCGTAGATCAATAGACGTTTGTTTTATTCTGTCTATACACTGATTTACAACAATATAAAACACACAATTTATCCTGTATAACTTTAAGTCCCATACAGAAACACAATCACACGTTTTCAGTGATATACAACACAATTCCCTCTTTTCTATCGGTACACTTCCTTACCTGTTTCATCTTGCTCGTTTATGTTTACTCCTTCCTTTATCATTTGTTTGATTGAATCCAAATCCCCATTCTTTGCCAAGCGAATTAAACTCACATCTCGAACAGTTAAAGGACGTCTACTATCACGTTTCTCGGATCCTGAAAGTATAGCATGACAATTAGTGTGTGAACAAATACTTTTAAAGTAGGGATTAGAATAATACATGGTCTCAAGCATGATTTGTACTAACGATGAGTTCAATGTACGCAAAAACCAGAAATTACTTTAATCCCTAGTGGATAGACAATAACTCAGCTAAGCAATACACTCATTAGATAAATTAATAGGCCAGTAATAATTTCGTTCGGAGTTTGTAAAAACCTTTTCACACAAACGATCCATCAATTCAAATAGTCGGATATGTTAGAAAAACGTACCACAGAAGTAAGTAGCCTATGAGCCAGTTGATAAAATTTAGATACACTTGTCGGTTTACCGTTGGTAAACTGCCCAACCCAGTAAGAAACAGTTTCAACATTAATGAAATATTAGTAAACCAATATCACGAAAGCATCAAATGATATCTAGTTATAAGACTCAGTTCAAAGTATACGTAATGAACACAAGTCATTCTACTTGCGACCAACACAACTTAAACGTACATGATGCAATGGAAACTGGAGTTCACTCCAACTCATTGTTTGTTTGATACAGTGTCTATCATTTCTGATTGCTAGTTCTCCTTGACATCCCATCTCTATACACTGGTTACTTACTAAACTCAAGAAATTACTGGTCAATTACATCTCCAAAAATGAATATCACAGAAAAGGTCTGAAAGCACAAACAGTTTCAAACAGGCTCTTGTTCTAACTAGTAAACAACATATTATTCGATTCAGTGCTATATCAACTCCAACTGTCACGTATTCATGTATCATGTAAAATCACACGGATAAATAAGCAAAGTCAAAGCAAGACTAGTGGCATGCGCATTATCTAGAGCGACACAAGTATTGGAAAGAGTAAGTCACTGGTACTGATTTAACGCAACAGTGCATAGCGTTCCCAGACAACAATACCATGGATTGTACATGCCAAACTGTATGATATGTTTTAGGTCATGACCTATACCAACAATCAATGAGTAGATTTATCGATAGCCTGTTAGCTTGTCCATTTCAAGGTTAACTGAGCAACGTTTCGCCAAAAACATCCGCACTATATTTCTGATGACATCGTGCTGTTAGTCGATCCTATCTAGAAACCACTACTGGTAGATGTGCTAGAAAAAAAGAAGCTTACATTACTGAGAAGCACTCTGCGTTATTCAATCGAAGAAAACGTACAAATAACATAAACACAGACGTCTATTAAGGACCCTTCGCTAAAATACCAGTAACCATGTTATGTAAAACACTGATACAAGTCAAACATTATTTATAGTCGAACTTACATTGATACCACAGGATACTAGAGACTTCACACTGACATCAGTAAACATCCAGACTACCAATGTGTAACAGAACACACACAAAAATCAGCCAATATATTGTGCCACTAATGTTTGCAGATGGTCATAAGAGAACATTTATTATTAGTTATTTTATTTGAACACATAGATATTGGTACAAGGAAGCACCAAATACATATGCGCCACACAGATCTCATTTGATATGTGTGAGGGCTGTGATAATGTCCGGGTGCCCAAACCGAAGCAGGTGGTTTTATTAGGGGACCACACCCGGAGCCTTTGACCTGAAGGTCTGATCCACAAGGCAGTAGAGCATCGTAAGGAGGGAACAAATGTTTTACGAACCTATTCTTGGCCACCGACTACCATGGGACTACATATACTAACGTTGTCTCAATGACTTGAGGATCAATCTCCAAGTCAAAGGCTCGGGGGATGGCTCCCGAAGAAAACCATATACTTGTTTGGACAACCGCGAGGTATTCCAGCTCTCACAAAAATTTTGTGTGGCGCCCATACATGCTGGTGCCACTTTGTACCAATGTTTGCGTACAAGTAAACGAATATAGGACTAAAACGGTTTGTACGTACTGCACCATCCAAAAAATCTATTGGCATCCAATAATTAATCAAGTGCTTAATGCACAATAATAAGAAGATTCCGGCACATATAAGCTTATCAGAGCCCAAAAAATATACCGTGAGCACCAAGTCTGATTTTAACGGTCACTGATGGTAGATTAGTGTTATCATAAAGTAGAAATCTAAAACGTATTAAGTCGGTCGTAATTACCACTATCATTGATATTTAACGTGAAGTGATACTGAGACGCATAATACATCCACGTAACTAGTCAATTCCTAAATATTAGTCCGAATTCAACCTTTAAAACACAACAGCATCATGAGACAGAACACAGGCTTACATAAGAGATTATAATCTATTTGCATAAGATCTCAGTGACTGGACATGAGCACAGTTATATCAGGACCCTCTAGCAGTACTGACCTTCCTGATCCTTAACCCTTTTTCTTTCGTCTCTCATCACCACCTTCAAAGAAGCCGCTCACAACTTGCTAAAAGTACAACAACCACAAAGTTGGGTATGGATTTCTGGGGACTATATGTTTAATAAAGTCTTACGTGACTTGCATTGTATTCTAAACCGTCCGGCTGAATATTTATGGGACCCTTACAGCATCAAAGTGATATCCATTTTTATGGTAATAGTTATATCATGCTGTCTAACCAATCAGTCAGTCTCCAGTAATAAGGATAGTAGGTTGGTGAACCTGTGTTAATCCAGATTAATTTCCAGTGAAGGCCCAGCTTCTCCTTGACAGTATTCACTGATGGGGCTGATACCACTTGTTCGGTAAGGCGTTCCAATCATTGACTACTCGATGAGAAAAACGGGATCCCACTTTAAGTTTATTAGATCGCGGTTTATGAACCTTCTTGCTATGACCTCGGAGATTATTAGTGCTGGAGGGAGCAAAAAGATAAGACATATTAACACCCAAATCATAATTAAAGATACGAAATGCCAGTATAAGGTCACCTCGTGTCCTACGATACGACAAGGGGAAAAGATTTAGGCGTTTTAAACGCTCATCGTAAGGGAGTTAGAAAGACCCTTCACTAATTTCGTTCCCACACGCTGGACACGCTCAAGTGAGTTAGTATCCTTTACCAGACACGGACTAGCTGCTTGAATACAGTACTCTAAATGTGGTTTTACATGGGTGGGATATAAAATTCGAAACATTTCCTCGTCAGAAGATTTGAACGCTCGACGAAGTGACCATAACGCACGAAAACCTTTGACAGTGGCTGCGTTGCAATGCGTAGTTGTTTTTAAGTCATGACTTATTATTACTCCTAAGTCTTTATGCTCTTGAACGCATGGAAGAGGTTTACCATCAATAGTATAATGGTAATTATTACCATGACCGATGCGCATTAGCACACTCTTCCTAGCATTGATTTCTAAGCCCAACCTCGAGTCTATCTAACTAAATCGTCTAAGTCAGCTTAGAGATCCAGATGATCAGTTTCACTTTTTATTGTTCTCCAGATTTTCACGTCATCCGCAAGCAATAATGTCGACGACCTAAGTAACAGCGGTAACTCATTAACGTAGAGAAGGAAAAGTAGAGAGCCTATAGTGGTGCCTTGGGGTACACCACTTTTGACCGGCTTCCAACTGGATAGCGTTCGAACGACCGTCACTCTCTGTTTGCGGTCATATAAGAAGTTTCCTATCCAATCATGTACAGTACCTATTATTCCGAAGCTCGTGAGCTTCTGTATAAGACCTAAGTGTGAAACCTTGTCAAATGCTTTGCTAAAATCTATGAATATCACGTCGACAGACAGACCGTGATCTAGGGCTGCTGTCCAATCCTCCCTCGCAATAAGTAAGTTAGTCAAGCATGAACGCTTGTTACGAAATTCATGTTGCTCAGAAGCTAACAGATTGTGTAAATCTATGTGGCTTAGCAACCTCACCCGAATTATCTTCTCAAGTAACTTAACGACTATGCTACTTAGACTAACAGGTCGGTAGTTAGATACTATCTGTCTCTGACCGTCCTTAAATATAGGACTGACTATAGCGTCCTTCCAATCTCTAGGGAGTTGGCGAGTGAGAGGGACATGTTGAAGAGTGTCGCAAGCGGTTTTGAAATAATGTCCGAAAGAGATGACAGCAACCGTGGATGTAACCCGTCAGGGCCCGGTATCTTACCAGGTTTGAGGTTAGTTATCAACGAAAGAACAGTTTCCTCAGTCACCTGTACATATTCAATGGTTGGTATCTCGGTGTGAGTGGGACAAGTATTTGTTACAATAAACGTAGAGTAGACTTCGCTAAAATAGTTTGAAAAAGTCTCAGCTTTTGCTCGATCTGATTCAGCTAGTCAACCTGAATTTTCGTGTAACAGTAACGGGAGAATACCATAACTACGTTTCATCATTTCACTACGTTTAACATACGAAAACGGTCGTTTTAGAAAAGTACGGCTATCATATAATAACTGTCGTTTGTAAGTAGTACGGGATTTAGCTATAGTTTTCTTACAAATATTCCGGAATTTTTGGTACTCACACTTAAATGGTGCATGACCTGTCAACAAGAATATGTCCCAGAAATATTTCCTGCGCTTTAACAGCTTCCAAGTTTGTTTATTAATCCATGGAGGGCAATGTGATAGCTTGCGTGCTGACCATGAGATAAACGGCGACGTTACGGACTTGAATGTAGCTTTAAACTTATTCCATTCGTCTTCGATCGATCCATCCGCGTTGACCGACCAATCAGTCGAGATAGCACAGTATCTGATCGCCGAAATATTGGCTCGCTAGAAATTGGGACGGGGTGGAGCAGATACAAATTATATACTGTGTGTCCTAAACTTAAAGTGAACTACAACGTGATCACCACTACCTGGAGCTGTAAGCTCTATTCAGTTGATATGCGGTGCACTGAAGTCCCCAATGATGAGACAACATTCTGCCATACTCCAAGAACAGATTTGTCTTAAGATAAAGTCGTCAGCAAGACAACACGAACTATGGCATGTTCCACCTATAGTCACCAACCCATCTCTAGATTTAATCTTACAACACGTTACCTCACATATATCACTAACATGAGCCTCCGATATTGTTGATTGTATACGAAAGTGATCCCTAACGTATAACATTATGCCTCCCTCCTTGCGACTTAAAACTCTATCACTTCTAATAGAGATATAGCCTGCAATGATGGGAGAACATTCTATATCTATGGTGAACCAAGTTTCTGTAACAACAATTATATCGGGACTTAATTCATCCATCATCAGACTTAGCTCGGACGTTTTATTTCTAAGACTACGGGCGTTCGTGTAGCACACACTTAAGGTGTTTTGGTAATCATTCGTTCTATCCATACAGGCCTCGGAAGCATTGGCTTCCAAGATCTGACTAACCAAAAACCTTTAATGGTAAGGTTATTTTCGCCATTCAACTTGCGATTTCTCAACTCCGTAGGAGCATTCTTCCACTTGATTCGATCCTCAAGCGGACAATCTGGTCGGATACGAATATTTGAACCACGAGTTTTATGTGCGTTTTTCAATACTATATCTCTTTCTTCAAAATTCACGGGAACCAGCTTCAAGATCCTTCTTGGTTGGGTCTCGCCTCCAACCCATTTACCGAGTCGTATAACTTCCGCGGTATGTACCCCTGAAACCTCTTCAGGTAGTACATTTCTTATCACATATTTCACTAATAGCAGATCGTGTGCATGTCTTTTAGCAAAGTCATTGTCTTTTGACTTCTCCAGATTACAAATAATTGAACTAGGAAGGGGTTTGGCCACTTTTGAAATCGTGTTCACTGCTTTCGATCGTGATCTTAAAGCCTGCATATTAACCACTGGCGTCTTACGATTAGTTTTTATTGAAACAGAGTCATGGGAGTCGAGCGCGTGACTCACAACAATGTTCGACGAGGCTTTGCCTTGGGACTTTGGTGGAGTAGTGTGGGAGTCCACCAAGGACTCACCAAGTAAACGGTCATTAGTTTTAGCTATCTCTCCTACTCTTCTATGTTTCCGCGTCATCCATTTTCCATCAGTCGTAGCATCTGCACTAGAACTACTCGAGACAGTAAGTGTTTTGTCTGGGTTACCGGTTACTGTTGTAGAAACATGGCCACCGATATCTGATGAGGTGTCACTCATTGATTGTTTCGGGGTAGACAGCTTTATTGCGGGTTTCACAATTAGACGCTTGGCTTGCACCGTGAAAGCACTTACGACACTAACGCAATCTTCGCCATCAGCACCAATGCTACCAGTACAGCCCTCGTCGACCTCCTTATTAGCCAACACCAGGAGGCTAATTGCTTTCTGGATGAGTAATGTTTTGCCCGGGCAACAAAAAATACAAAGCCAATGAGAGTTCGGATTTTAGCACCTTTTATATGCAGTGAGGCTTAATCGGGTGCACATCTTATGGAAACACTTATTACACTCATCACATTGCATCCCTTCCTCCACGGGGAGTAAACAATATGGTTGTCCACATTTATGAGCAGAGCTTGCCATCGTGAAAATCAACTACAATCGTGATACGAACAGGATATGTAAAACAATTCTCAAACCTTAGCTAGATAAATCAAGTAAAAGTCGACCAAGTATGCTTCGATGCAATAAATACACAAAAGCGAAATCGAAACACTCAATACAATAACACTTTAACTGGAGTAGATTCAATTAAAGTGTAAACAGTAGTTTTGATGCGTAATTTACCATCAAAACAGTTAATTAACTCAACGAGAAGCAATACCACTGTCCTTTTAAACAGTGTTATAATGCAGAACTCGAGTTGTCAGTGATGAATGACGCACTATAAATTTTCCAGAGTATATTGACATTATTGTGTTTGTAAAGCCACTGGATCAGTACGAAATAGTTATTTGCCCTATCGGACCCCTTTTCAAATGACTGGTGGTATTTTTTTCTGGAAGTTTGGCTGTTTCAATATCTAATGTTTGCTTCTTTAGAGACAGTTTGAGACCAATTTTGTACTCCATGTAAGCCCACGTTTTTTTTGCTAAATTATGTACAAGGAATTAAGCAAACACTTCAGAGTTACCTATTGTTGTGTGGAGTGTTAGCTTTAATGTTGCTGATTTTTTTGCAATGATAGTCACTAAAAGAAATTATTACTTTTATAAGGCCAGTCAGGATACCCACTCAAATAAATGATCTTTCATTAACGCTGACGCTTGAAAGAAATTATATGAATTATGGAACGAGACTGAGTTTCAAAGATAAGTTGCAGTTGTTTGAAATCAGCTGAATTAAATCAATGTAGCCACTTTGTCTTTGGAATGCGAGAGACTTCTCAAACAAATTCTAGACCTATGAATACCTACTTCTCTATAATGCAAGGATTCCTAATGTAAAGATCAGTCACGGGAACAGGAGTTATGTACATTAATATGGATATGTCCGGTTTTCTGTATAGTTTCATTGTACTGACTTACCAATCATGTATTTTCCTTTTAAGCAGACTTGGAAGTTGGTTC